CGGAGGCAGCCGGGGTCGTATAGGTGTCTGCGAGAGCGGGGAGGTCTCGGTTCGGGAGGGCAGGGCCCCTGGGCTCCTGTCGCTGCATCCCGGCCTCCGGGGTGGGAGCCGCCGGCAGGGCCTCCGGTGCCTCCCGGCAGGGTCTGAGGTGAGGCCCTCGAGTCGTTGTCCACAAACACAAAAAGCGTTCGGGTTGCAGCTCTGCCGAAAGGAGGTCTGTGCAGGCAAACTCAGATTGGCTGCTGTAAGGTTGTTGGGGTTTTTTTTGTTTGGTTTGGTCTTTGTTTTTTCCTGTCAGCCCTTGAACGTTGCTTCATGTCAGGTTTGGATCTCGCGCTTACAAGAGGAAAGGGAGTTAGTTTGATGAGGAACTGTTGTTGTCACCCTTGATTATTTCTAAATAGGGGAATATAACAGGTTCATTCCTTTTTAAAGCGTCTTTCTAGCACAGCTTTATTTAGGTAGCCACAGTTGCTGTCTTAGTCTTGGAACAGTTATGGCTTAATTACCAACAGATGATGTCAGCTCAGTATCATTCAGGTCAGTAAGGCTGTGACTGCAGACATGCTTTTCATGCTAAACATCTATAATTGCATTATGCCCTTTGTATGCAGGTCGAGTGAGTGTAATTCCTGCCATTGTGAGGGTTCAGACTGCATTTAGCATAGATCTATTTGATGGTTTCATCACAAATAATGAGAAGGAATTGATGCTTTGTCCAAAGTTAATATAACACATTGCAGTGCAGAGTGATAATTTACTGCAGACTTGGAACTGTAGCAAAATGGAGAAATCCATGAGCAGGTAAGCAATGATAAGATGCTACTTTGTTAAAGAACTCACCTGTAATTTTTTATTTTTTTTACATTATTACATCTTCCCATGGAACAGAAGAAAGCTGAATTATATCACATGAGGATTTACTAGTCTCTGTGGAATATTATCAACCAGAAAGTGTTCCTCTTAAAAAATAAACACACCAACACCAAATCCACCATGAAACACAACTTTGTGAGTTTGCATTATTAAACATTAAAATATAAAAATTTTGTTATTGAATTTGAGGTATCGGACGGTAGTGTTAAGATATGTGGATGTAGTTGTTGGCCCAACCACAGATTTATTCTGTGGTGTTTGTCAGTTCTCTTACTTTGTGTTACATTATTATTGCATTTAGTCTGACCAGGTTTACCTTTGGAACAGATTAGGTGGTTTTAAAGGAAATAGAGCTTAATAGACATGCACAAGAACTCAGGAACAGGGACAAAGCAGCTGAAAGCTATTTTCCATAAATTTAAAAGTGCCTGAAATTCTTTTCTTCAGATATGCATGCAGTTCCTTAACTGCACGTTTTGTGTGAACAGAGAATTATTTGTTTGCTGAACAGGATCCATTACCTTCAGAAAACATTGAAATAGTATTTTATAGGATGACAAGAATTTCTCTCTCACACACAAAATGCAGATCTTGTTTTCTTTCATTAGCTTTGTTGAGCTCTTAGCAGCTTGCTGGAACAAGCCAAAAATACTGCATTTCCTCTTAGGAGATTTATTTTTTGAGTGGATTTTGGTTTTGTGTTTGTTATTTCCTCTCCCTCCCGCAGTGATTTATTGTTAATGCTGTGAGCAGTGATTTAGCTCAACTCCTGAAACTTATTAGTGTAGGTTGTTCATGGAACCAACATTTTTTTCTGACTGCAGCCATGTTTTTCTAGCTCAGTTCAGGTGATTATTATTAGGGTGAGACTTCAAACTATCCTCTTCTGTTGCCTGTTGCAGTTTAGGAATGTGTTTGTGGTTCTAATGTGCAAATTTTCGGGGTGGTGGCAGTATTTGTTTTGGGAAAGAAGCTTCAATGCAACTGGTTCAGCAAGTTTCATCTGATTAGATTTTTAAATATTTTTTTAGTTTGTTTTCAGAAAATTATTGAGACAAAATCCTTAGAATTCATAAAAATAGGCTTGTTTCTCAGATAAGAACTACCTGTGAAAGTAAACCGTATAATAGAAAAATATGCTTAATTTTGCTTTTCAGTGGTGAATGTATAAAATCAGGGACTTCTAGCTGTGGGGTTTTTTTTAAGAAAAACTTTTAGTTAAAATACGAGCAAAACTAGAAAGAGTTCCTTGCAGAAGGACTGTATATGTAACTGCATTTCATAGAATAATGTGAAATTCTGACTTCAGTTCCTGTGTTGTCAAGAGAATTTTTCAGCAATGGACAGAATTCTTTGATATGTTTGATAATAAAAGGCAGAAAACCACATTCAAATCATATCTGTAATGCTCTGCACACGTGGGAGGTGAAGCACAAATATATTTTAGTGCTTTTTCATTTTGGCTTTAGAGGAGAAAGAAATTGCCTGTGACACGATGATGCTGAAATGCCTTGTTCCTTGTTTTGTTGGAATTTCAAAATTCCAGATAGTCAAATGTGCCTGACAAAGGGACAAAAGAATGTTCTAAAGTTTCATAGCAGTCAACTTCTATATGTGATTGTGTAGTTTTGTTATAGATTAATTTATTGAAATAATGCTACTTCTTTGCAGTTCATGTAGTTTTACACAAAATATTTCTTCTTTCATTTTAAGTTCAAAACCTCTGAAGACGCATGAAATCCAGCAACTACAAAGGCATCAAATGCCTGCAACTGGGCAATCTGTTGCTCTCCAGTCTGCCAGACACCAATTTCAGGACACAGGTCTTGACAGTTTGGATGATGTTGGGTATATCTGGCATCAAAAAAGAAGGCTACAGGAATTCCAAATCAGGTGATAAGTGTAAAACATAGTTTTCACTGAATGGAGCATGGGGATCAGACCTAAAAAACCCCTCTGGTTTTAATAGTATCACTGCAGGTGGTTCTTGTTCACAGGCATGCCAGACAATTCTGAAGATACCTTGTAGTAACTTGAGGATGTGCCTTGGTGGTACAGCCAGATTTTGTGCATTTTTCATTTTCTGATGTAAAATTAAAAAATGGCTATTTAACAATATGCTTTCATAGAGGGCAGCCAGGTGTAATGATTTATTCTTGCCCTCCTGTTGTGTTTCTTTACCTTTGTGTTGAAGGAGTCTTGACAAAAGTGAGATGGTAATTGTGTAGAGATTAAAAGCCTGGTATTTGTTGAACAAGTGTGACTGATCTATCAGCTCAGACATGCTGAAAGAGGGAGGCTGTGCTTTAATTAATTACCTTGTGCTGGCTGTGGTGCTTCTTGGGGCCCCCTGTAAGCCAATTAACTCTTAAATCTCTTTGGAAAAAAAAAAGGGGGGGGGAGGGGTGGAGTAAGTATGATAGTATCACAATCACAGATCAGTGAGTTGAACTGGTACTGGGAGAAGGTTGCTGAGAAGCAGAACAGTTGCTGGGGGAGGTAGGAAGAGGGAAGATTTGCTGGTTTCAGGATTAAACATTAGATTGGCTCAAGTAATCTGAAAATAAGTCTAACTCAGCTGGTCAACTTCATGGAAACCAGGGATATTATTGCTTCTGAATCACAAAAAGGCTCCCCAGCTAGTCAGCAGCCTGCTCATTAGTATCACTGGGTGTAAGTGGGCTGCTTGGAAAACATTTCATCTCCCTAAGTTTCCGCAACAACTATGTCCCAATTCAAGTCTTGCAGTGGTGCATGGGCCTCTATTTATGCTTGGTAGATTGTCCTGTTAAAGGTACTAATTTCAGGGTGCAAATGTTTTGTACTTGCATTGATCTCTGTAAAACCATACCCTTAGTTTTATGACTGAAACTGGCATAAAAGATCCTATTTTTACTGCTGCCTGGGAATTAACAGATGAAGAGTACAAAGACAATTAACCTTTCCTTATATTCCAGATACCTAGCAAGAAACTTCTTCTACCTGTGGGCAAAAAAGACATTTGGACAAGTTCTCCCTTCAAAAGCCAGGTAGAGAAAGTTCCAGAAATCAATGTATTTTTTTAAAACATGGTTTCATTCTGTACATTTGGGCTAAGAGAGCACTGTCTGCCAACGAAGTATTTGATTGTCTTTTGAGACTATTTCAGTGCTTTTTTTGAATAACTTTCTTGCTCCTTTTTATTTATTTTTAATACTGATGGCTAATCTAAATTTACAGGAATTGCCTTGGTGCAATTGAACTTTTCAGGCATATACGGTACGGTTGTGATACTTGCTTTAAATGTAACAGATTTTCAAAATTATAAGTGGAGATGGGTCTGGAAATTTGGTTTATTTTACTGTTTTCACTGTTGTTCTTAACGTGCCTATATATGCTTTGTGTCTGCCTGACTTTGAAATATCTGTACCTGATTATTTGTTTCTGCTAGTGTTCTGCAACTACTGAAAACCAACACTTCTGTACTCTTTCTGTGCTTTGTTATAATTTGCATGTTCATTCTTGTTTGACCACACCCTTGGGAACTGAAACAGTTCCAAGTGGGAAGATCTGAGTTTGTTACAGTTGGAGTAAGATCAGGCCCTTAGTTCTCAAGTTTCATTGTGCTGTATCAAGTGTGTTGTGACCATGTCTGCCTGAGCTGCTGGGCAGCAGCTGTCCCGTGAAACTATGGTTCTTGGTATCCCATATACTGAATTTACACAACTTTGGCTGTGTGTTCAGAACAATGGCTATTTTATCTTTTTAGGAGGATGAATGGAAATATATGTTATAAAGTTCAACAAGGAACATAACAATTAATTGCCTTTTTAGATTTAAGAGTCCCCAGTTCTGCATAGCTTTTATTTGCAATGTCCTGATAATGCACCAAGTGAAAAAAAAAAAAGCTCATTTCTTCTTTCTTTTTCTATTTTTTTTTCTTTCTTTTCTGCTTGAGTGTTTGGAATGACTTAGCAACTTGGCTTGGGGTAGGTAGCTGTGAATTGCAACTTGTGAGAGGATTCATATGTGTTAAGGGACCTCTAGGTATTGTGGGACTAATCTTGTTGTTATTTCAGACATGACCAACTTCATTAAGCTATTGGCATAGCTGTGACCAAAACTTGTGAGTCTGGGCTTATGTGCTTTTTGTTTGCTTGCTCTATGTTTTCATGGGTCCTTCTATTTTCCTTCTCTCCATCACAAAGAGATGACAATTTTTTTGAAAGTACTTGTACTCCAGTTGATGAGACTTTCTGTTTCTTATGCTGCCTTGACCATATGGAACAATGTTTGACAGAGTATTAAAAAAAGAAGGCTTGAAATAGTAGATTATGACCATTATTTTTAGTTAAGTGATCAAAACCCTAATTTCCTCATGCAGACCCTCCTATGAGTTGAATTTTTAGTTGTTCACCATTCGGTTGAAATATAGCATCACTTCTTACCTGGTCAGGTGTCTGTTAATGAAATCTGGATATGCAAGCAGAGACTGTTCTACTGAGATTAAAGAACTTAAAGGTCATATGTTACCTTTGAATCCATTCTGTACATGGCTTAGCATCCATTGGAAAGCCAAGATACAAGAACAGCTTTGTTTTTAGCATAGGTGATGTGCAGCTTGCTAAAGGAGTTCTTAAATCTATTTAAGCATTGTTTGGGAAGATGTTAAATTTGGGGTGACTTAAGATCAGCATGCTGCTAAGAGCACAATGAAAATTTCAAAGCATTATAAAATCTGAAGTAGCTTTTGTGTTTGTTTATATACATAAAATATTTATGTTAAAATAACAAAATTAGCAAGGAATATACAACTACGCTTGTCAACTGGCTATTTTTTTGAGTAAAACACAGAACTGAGGATAAAGCATAAGAATTGTTTGTGGGTTTAAAGTCAACTGGCACTAATACTTGGCAAGTCAGTTAACAGCATCTGCCTTTTATTTCTTGACTTTAGGTAAAGCATTTACAGCCAGTTGCTTCTTGTCATGCTTAACAGATTCTTGGAATAAAGTGTCACAGTAGGGTAGTGCTACTTAAATGCCATTAGATGCTGTTAGGCTAATCAGACAAGGCTTAAAGAGATGTAGCATAATCTTAATAAAAACTGATTTGTGATGAATCTGGAAATGTGTATGAAGTTACCCATGTCCAAATCCTTCAACTGTTTAGGTGCTTTTATGACCAGAAGATTCTTCAAAAAACGTTTAAAGAATGGTGGGCTGTTTGCAGAGAAATGAAGCTCAGCCTCAGAGCAGAGAGCCATTACAGGTTTGTGAAATGGCTTCCTATTATTGTGTGTACATAGCAGTATGAGAAGCTTTCCTTAAGCTCTGACGGAGTTGTTAATACCAGTAGCTAAGTAACATTAACAGTACCTCTAGGCCAAGAGTAATGTCTTCATTGCTTATTTTCACATCTTTCTTCCCTGCTGTTTTGTTGCTGTTGTCTTAGGATGAAGTAAACATTTCTTACCCAATCTTTCTTTAGACTGCAGCTCAACCTGAAAGAATCCTACTTCTCAGCATTGGTAGCTGTTTCTCTGAATGGTGCTTGCTTCTTTTTCAGGCATTTACTCCATAATTTTATATTCAAAGCTTGGAGAGCCTACATATGCCAGCAACAAGAAAAGAGGAACAAGTACTGTGTTGCAGAGTCTCATGGTAAGTATAGAAGTGATCGTAACTACCTTTATTTGGGGACATACTGAGATGGGAGCTTCCAAGGAAAATGTTTGTACAGAATCTCTGTTCCTTTTACATGCTGGCACGTCAACCTCCCCCCTATGGAATTGTGATGCTTTTAGGTACAGATGGTTGTCTGTCTAAAGCTGGTGGGGAGGGTGTGGGGGGAGATGTATTTGATGCACTGCTGTGTAGCTATATAGTTATTTAGGGATATCAGTGAATAAGCTTAGGGGCATCTCCATCTGCTCTGAATTGTGGTGTTTGTTTTTTGGGGAGTGGTTTATTTGGGTTTTTTGAGGGACGAGCTTGTTGGATTTTTTTGTTTTAATTTATTACAACGTATTGAAACAGTTATTTTTTTATAGAATTTGTTACTGGAATTCTGTATCAACTGTGGCTATAGAAATTAGACACTAATTCCCTGTGGTATTAACTGCACTGATTTTTATATGTATTCATTATTCCTTCCAGCTTGTGTCTTGCTGTTGAAAAGAAGCCCAAGCTTTTGAAGTGCTCCTTGTCTTATCTAGATTCTTTGTTCTGCAATGGATTTGTCCTACTGATGAAGTTGCCTATATTGGTTGCAACTTCCTTTGGTTTCAGGGAATATTTCTTTTCCTGAAGGGGAGGATGACCCTCTTCTAAAGATGATACTGTGGTTTTGTTCTGTGTTGATTTGCAAAATAAACTAGCAGGTCTTTTTTGCGTATAAATGTATCCTCAGAATAACATGGATGGGAACCTTTGGAAGCAAACTGAGCTATCTAGATTTCCTTTCTCACTGGGTGAGGCCAGAGTGCTCACAGAAGCAGCTGTGTGTTATTTAGTAAAAAAGATAGAAAGGTGACCTGTTTTAAGGTAGGCTAATTTTTGATACAGCAGGTCACAAGGAAGTATTTAAACAAACAAAAAGCTGTTATTTTGGTTTTCTTTAGTATGTGAAGTGACATAAAATCCATTACTTTTTTCCTAACAATATTGCTTCAATAGTGTCAGTTCTGACAGTCCAGACTGGTGGGAGGAGAAAGTGCAGTACACTGCATAAGTGGTAAACTGGAATTTGTGACACCACTTCTGTTTTTAACTGCATTACCAGCCTGCTAAATAAACTTGACTTATTTCTGGTTGATTTCTCTGCTTGTAACAGAGAATAACTCTTGAAAAGCTACTGATGAACCTGATGAACTTCTTTTTTTAAAAAAAAACAAACCAGAGAAAATTCTCAGTTCTTACTCAGTGAGGTTGTTACACTGAATATTGTTGTACATCTATATGTCCTGTAAGCACTGGAGACAAAGCAGTGCCATTGTCTGATAATTCACGCTGCTCTGAGCAGGTGGCATGATGTTGTCAGCGTTTCAGACATTCTTGTCAGTGTGACGCCCTCGGCCAGGGTGGATGATCGCGGCTCTGGTGGCTGTTGTTTCGTGGTTTCCCACCAGGTGTCACTGCGGATTGAGCGGACTGGAGGTCGGGGACAAGAGGTTCAATGACAGCTTCTTGCCGGAATTTAGGATGCTGTAATTTTTTTGTTATGCACAGCAAGGAAGAAAACGTTGCTCAGGACCTGGCAATGCTGGCTGCTTTATGTCGATGTTCAAAGGATAAAGCACGGGATGCAGGCTGTGGCACTGGCATTCAGGGAAAGAAGCTGCTTGCGGTAAGAACGGACTGAAACACAGAGGCACTGACCATAAGGCCATGCTTTATTCCTATGGTCTCTTACCTTTTCCTGCAGTGGCTTCGTTCCATCTTTTTTTTTGTTGGTTTTGTTTTGTTTGTGTGTGTTTCTGAATTCTTTTGGTACTCCCATAGTCTAGGGAGCCTGCATTTTAAGATGTCTGTAACATTGTTTTGGCAGCCTATCATGGGCAGTTTGGAGGCAACGATACTACCAGAATCTTCTGGCCCTGCAGCACTGGGCCCAGAGCCTGCAATTTCGAGTAAGTCCCAGAAGTTCCAGCTACTTCTGATGTTTAAGTTGCACACACGTATGACTAATATGTTGCAGATGAATAAAAACTAGGCCTTGTACTAATTTGCTTTGCAGATTGCAGTACTTATGATGGAAGAATACATTAGGACACAAAGTGGAATGAAGCTTTATCAGGGGAAATTCAGATTGGACATTAGGAAAAGGCTTTTCCCTGAGAGGGTTGTTGGTCACTGGAACAGGCTTCCCAGGACACCAAGCCTGGCAGACTTCAGGTGCTCTGGATGATGCTCTTAGTAATATGGTTTAGTTTTAGGTAGTCCTGTGAGGAGCAGGGAGTTGGACTGATCCTTATGGGTCCCTTCCAGCTTGGCACATTCTATAGAAAAAATTATTTACAAGAAATCTAGGCAAACAAACTGGATCCATGTCATATATGGTAGGAAGCAGACTAGCCAAAGAAAGTATTGCTATATTACATAATACGTAACGATAGTGAGGGTGTCTTTGTTCTCTCCAGCAGACAACTAGCCACAGATAAATAAGAGATAAAAAAGAGCGGTTGTGTGATTTGGCAGCTGTGGCATTTTGAGCAGGGAATGGTGGGAAGTTGCACCTAACTTTCTAGAATGCTGAGCTCCCCAGTGGTCCAATCCACTTTCCTGTTAGGAGGCAAGACAGCAGCAGTTGGCTGCTGAACACCACCTTTCCTCTTTGTAAGACAACATTTCCTGATGAGTTTCTGTGGGCATGTTTAGCTCCATTTTGGGGTAGAGAAACACTGTCCAGCATTTCGTATTCTTGAGATATTGTAAGCTCCTTCAGTAAATTGTACATCTTAGCCCAAGTGAAAGCACACACTTTTCTTTCACTGAAACTGAGGCTTTTTGTCTGTTTCATTAAAAACGTGATGGTGTTTAGTTTGGCCTTTCCTGTGAGATGGCAACACTGCCTGCTTGAGACCAATATTTTACTAAGGAGATAAACTCATTACTTGGGAAATATAATATATCCGTATGTGATTTTCTTTTAGATTAAAATTCTGTCTGAAAGAAAACCTGTAGTCCATTACTTCATTTCTTAATGGAAAAAAGGCTAATGTATTTAAAAAAAAAGGATAAAGGAAGTTTGATATTGACATTTTGACCTTTGCTATGCTGACATTCCTTTGCATTTGTGTGGTTTTGTTTGTTGGAGGTTTTTTGTTTCTCCCCCTTGGGGAGAAGAGCCTCATTGCTTGGGGCTTTCACTTTTAATTCTTACATGGAATTTTGTATTTCCTGTGTTCTTCCTATTCTCTTCTTTGTTCTATTTACTTAATATTCTCCATTTTTTCCCCTGTACTTCCTTCTCTCCTAATTTGTTATGTCAGGCTTGGTGGCAGTGGTGGGAGCTGTATTTATACAGCCAGAATGACAGGCAGAAGGAGACCAGGGCAGTAGCTCACCATCAGCACTGGGAATTGAAGAGATGCTTGGAAGTGTGGCTGGGATACTTACACCTCCAGAGAGCAAAGAAACGTCAGAATGGTGAGTTAGAACAGAACAGGGCTCAGCTCCTTTTCTTAGGGCACAGTGATTATTTGTTTTTCTATTCTAGGACATGCCACAATGTTTCTATGCTTGCTCAACAGATGATGAGATGCAACTTGGACTGTACACTGTCATGAGCCTGGCTAGCTAAGGTTATATATGCAACTGTCAGGAAGTTCACCTGTTTTCCATATGATAGAAAAGAAAGTGCTTTATGGTTCCCTTGACAAAAGCTTGCACATTGCAAATTATATTGTGACTGAGGTATTTGCGAGAACGATCTATTCAGGACTATTATCAGTCACTCTATATGTGGATTTTCTTGATAATTAGAAAATCACAGCTCGTACAAGGATGGTAAAGATTATGACACCGGTGCATCTTAACTTCCCCTTCTTAAGTCAGTTCAGTATTTTACTGCTGTAAAACTGTCTTGTGACCAGTGGGAAAGATACACTCCATAGCTGACTGCTACTGTGAATTCTTACCACCTTTCTTCTGTGTTAGAGCTTGTGTTGCTTCAGAACCAGTGGCCTCACCTGATATAAATGAGCCCAGGATGGAACAAGCAGTGAGTTACTTGTGTGTTTGTTTTCTAGAGAGAGCCCAAGAGCACCACCGGAGCAGGATGGTCCGGCAGTGTTTCTCTAAATGGCACCTGTCCTGGGAGTGCAGGAGAAGAATGCATGCTCAACAAGAAGATACTGAAAAACTAGCAGGAAGGATTGCTCAACAGATGGACTTTGCACACTGGAAGCATTGTATCCAATCTGTATTTAATCCCTAGCGGGGACAGATTAAAAGCATTTCCATGGAGGAAAAATCTTGTTAATAAGCAGGGGTGTTACATAGTAGCGTGGGTGACAACAAACATGTTATCATTAGAAAGATTATGTAAGGCCATCCTAACAATTATTAAAACTGTTGTAATTACAGTATGTGAGCCCGTTGACACCCAGGAGCCTGCAGAAGATAATTTAAGGTTGGAGAGGAATTCTTTACTTAAGAAGGAATCAGAAATGTCTTGTGCTAAGCCCGCAAAATATAGAAATGTGACTGTAATAAAAACTTGCACAGGTAACAATGCAGGAAATTCAAATATTGAAGCAAATTTAGATTGAGATGTAGTGCCTCTCTGTGGAGAAGGTTGTGTATATATTAGGATGGATGTTTCTGTGTAAAAGATACTTTAACCCAGTGACAGGTGTTGTACTGTATGTGGAAGACACTCGACAGCGTGAGCTGGCTGAAAAACACTACAAGCATCATCTCTTGGTAAGAGCACTGTTATGTGTCAGGTGGAAGAGGCTGCGGGGAGAATTCAGGTACTCTGACTGGCAGTGTGTCTTTAGTGCTAACAGTTGTGTGTGGATGTTAAGTAAGAGATGCACCATTTTTGCCGTGTTGAGTTTGGATAAGATATCAGGTTTATACATTCCAACAATTCTGGAGTCTGCCAACTGAATCCAAATGGGGAAACTGCTACTTTCCAAAGCAGGTATTCTTCCCATTGGGAAACTGCTGAAGCAGCAGATTAATCTTGGTGGTATTGGGCTACCATGCTCCCTGGCCATTTCACAATGAAATTGCATTTTCTCTGATTTTGATTTTTATTTTCCTTCTCACCTCTGCCTCAAATGTTTCTGTCTGATTACACTGTTTTGCTACAAGGATTATTCTTTTTCCCTATGTAGTAATGCATAAATGCTTCTTTTCACACAAGTCCAAATAGCGCTTAATGCATATGCAGACAGTTGGGTAAGTGGTCTTGTCTTTAACACAGAACAAAAAACCACAATGCCCAAAAAACTGCCAAAGACCCCAAGAAATCCTCAAAGGCTGTGTGAGAGGTGGGCACAGGCAAGTCTCCAGCTTTTTCAGAATGGAATTCTTCTCCAGTGTGGATCATCCACAGAAAAAAAGCAATTAACCTGTTTGGATCATAGATTGAGAATATTAGTAATAATAAGAGCACTTTAGGGCTGGATGCTCTCATAAAGCTATTTACCATCTTCACCCTTGAACCAAGATACTGTGGGGTTGGTGATCAAAGACCTTGTGCAGAGGAGACCTGAAAGGGAAGTGGATCTTTTCTATTTTTGATAAGGACCAAGTTAGTCTTGAACTGAAGGAGGACATAGATTCAGAAAAGACTTGGGCAGTGGTGTTGATAGCTGAATAAGGAGTTAGATGTCTGGCAGTAAAACCCTGGGAAAGCAGAAAGGAATTTTAGTTTAGCTGGAGAAGTGACAATTTGTGAGAGGAAACTGATGCATGGCTTTGATGACAACTTCATAAATCTTAGCTACTGCGAGCGGTAGCATCAAACATAGCTTGTCTGTAAGGAGCAGCCAGTTCTAGATTTATCAGTGCTTGCTGACTTGAATGACATGAGACTTGTGTGCATTTCTTGTTGTTACAGAAACTTGGGTTTAAGGGTCTGTGGCAGAATGTCATGACTGCTCATCTTCAGCAAATGAGAAGAAATCTGGCGTACTGTCAGCATGAAGTAACAGTGAGTGTGACTTTTTTGTTCTTATGTAAGTTTTTCTTGAGCTGTCCTATTGGCTTCCACTTTCCCCCACAAAATACCTTTTTATTAAATCAGTATCTTTGTTCCTAAATACTAATAGCCACAGAAAATCTCCTGTGTAACTCAACTGTCAGTTTTAGATGTTATTTTAGTTTTCTCTTTTCCATTGTTTATGTTGACTTTTACCATAAAAATTCATAGCTTATGAAACAAAAAATTGGTATGTGAAGCAGTGCAGGAGGCAACTATGGCAACATGTAGTTTCAGTAGGACATTTAACAATTTCTTTCTTTGCATTCTTCTCCTCCCTTAAGATCTCTGTGTTTTCATGTGTTTTTTGATTTTGTTTTAGATGCTGCAGAAATTCTGGAACCGTTGGAAGTCCCATTTGGAAGAGGAGGAAGAACAACAGCACCAGGCCTTAACAGAAGTTGCTCATGCTCATTATAGGTACACAGAGAAATATTAATATAAATTTGTATGAATGTGAGATTTTTGAGCCTTTGGCTCTCTTTTAATATCTGATAATACCTTTGGGAGCATGACCATCCTGGTGCCGATTGCTCTTGTATTTTCTATGAGTAATGGACAATTTACATCTCCTGCTTCTCTATGAAGTGTGAAAGGGAGGCTGATTAAGCGTATCTCTGAGACTTGTTTAGGTGTAAGAGCTGGATGTTGTACTGGTAAGAGCAATAGTTTGCAGCGTGAGCAAAGACAAAGATCAAAATTGAGTAAATGTATTTTACTTTTATGAAATCCTTAAAGGCCTTGTATGGGCTTGTATTCTTAACCATGGATTCAGTGCTGACTCTGTAGGTAGGGTTATGATTTATGATGCTGCCAAACCCTATTTCCCATTTTCTGTATGAGAAGACTACCAAAAATAGTTTGCTTTCCTTGGAAAAGATGTCAGCTGCTCTACCATTGTCCACCATCTCTGTAGCCTTGTCATAGAAGGCCACCAAATTGGTCAGGCATGATTTGGTGTTAGTGAAGCCATGTTGGCTGTCTCTAATCACCTGAGAGGAAAGCAATGTTTTTTAAGATGGAATCTTCTTTCCTAGTAGACTTGGGGCCTTGCACCTTTCATTGAACCTTTCACAAATAGGTTTGGAAGGCAGACTGACTAACGAGGGCAGCTGCATTTCTGCAAGCAATTACGAGTTTTTCCAACTGGTGTGAGAGTGCAGCTGTGGTGCATTAGCTTATCCTCTGGGGACAAGGGAAAAGTTTCAAATGCTCAAGAGGTTAAGCCTGGTGAAGAGGAGTTGCACCATGTAACTGTTGCAGTGTGACTTTTAGCCTCTCACTAGGGAAGGGATGAAGAGATGGTTGCAAAGCTGTCATTGTTTCTGTAACTGTGCCTTGACTCTATAAGTCAGGAATGTTTTTCTGTGCTATGTTTTATCTTTAGAAAGGGTATAACCAAAGTCCTATTTCCTGAACACAAAGGAACAAATTTTAAGAGAAGCATTGTTGCTTGTTCAGAGGTCTGGGGCTGCTTTCCTACCAGACCTAAGTGAATCTTCCATGGCAGCTTGCCAGAACTCACCTTTACCTGTTGTTTTCTGGTGCACATATATGTGTTGTTTCACAAGTCAGTGCCCCAACTGCTGTGTCTGGTGGTGAGACCCAGAAGAAACTCTAGAAGAGCCATCAGCTGTGACTATCTATGCATTAAAGACTTGCTGGCAACTACCAGTACCCTCCAGGAAGACTTACTTAACTCATGTTGTTTACCAACCTATAAATTTGTAATGAGCTGTAACAGCTACCTACCAAAAATTACCTGGTAAGAATCCAAAATACCTTTTAGGCCTCTTTAGAGAAGAGCTGGGACTTGCTAACAGTCTAATTACTACACCCACATGACTGAGTTCTGGAAATAACTGATGGAGTTTGAACTGAATTCTATTTCCATACACTCCTGCCATATGTTTTCTCTGTGAGATGTATAGTGCTGAATAACAAATATATGTAAATTGCATTTTTGGATACTATTTGATAATGATTCTTGTGCATCCCTGGGGAGGAGGCAAGCAAGCAAGAATTATGTTCATTTAGAGAGAAAGAAGCTTTGATGAGGGCAAGTAACCTGACCTTGTTCATAAATGAAGGCTTTGATGTAGTCTCTTCAATATTGAGATCAGAACATGCCACTCTTTATTATTGTTACGTTTTTTCAAGTCCTGTTACAATGTTTGTTTGAGTTCTTTAAATAAAAAAGAGTAGGATTTTCAAATTCTTTTCAAGGGTGGAGGGAGTGGACTATATTTACAGTAGAGAAGAATAAGAGATGACTATATAACATTTTCTTTGTGTGTGTTTATAAATAAAAGTAATTGGTCAGAAGTCAGACCAATCTTTAGAACAATCTGAATAGAAGCAAGAAATTCTAATAACTTCAGAAAATTAATTAATGTTGTCTCTTGTATTCTGGATAAGATTTCAGGGAGCTGTTTGTCTGTTTTTAACCCACAGAATGAGGGTATTTCCAAAGAAGGCTTGCATGATTTGAAAAATCAAGTAACTGTTTAAGTTGTAGATGGATTGGTCTTTGTATGTTCATAAAATCAATCTCTCTTTCTGAAGGAATTCTCTCATGCGCTGACATTCTCCCTTTTTGCTGGCAGGAGGCTGTTGATGAGACAGGTATTTGACACGTGGCTGCTGAGGACCTGCGAGCAGCAAGAATACGAAAGAGCAGAGAAGAGGGTAAATGTCAATCTCTTACCTGTCCTTACTCAAGGGTTGTTTTCTTGCTCACTGTGAACACCGTCAGCATGAGATGGACTTGGGTGTTGTAAATTCTCTTTTCCCTGATGGGGGATCAAGTTAGAGGAAACAACTTAAAGCCAATATTTACTAATCTTTTTTTAAGTTAAGCTCTTTGTTAATAACAGAATCAAGCTGTTATTATTAGAGGATAAGTATTCACACAGTTCATTCACTTATTCCCTCACCTAATAAATAAGTGCATGTCCTTTCTCTCACACTTTGTTTCATAGTTACCTGGTTGAAAGAGTTAACACTAATGAAAGAGTAACAGTAGATAAAGAGGCAACCCCAGCCTATTTAAGAAAGTGCAAGGTTATACTGACAAGCTAGTTGCTTCTTTGTAGGTATCCAGAAAGTCCCCTAGGGGATCCTTCAGTTCCTAATACTGTAGTTTTGATACATAGCAGCCACTGGCATCTTTTATGTCGTCTGACTTACACAACTCATAGTTGATATTAGCTTGTGTGGGTGGCCTTGTGAAGATATGGCTGGCTTTTGGTGTTCTGAGATTATCAGTTCTTCAAATTCAACAGAAATGGCTTCTGGACCTTATCAGTTCTTGAGAGTGTTTTACGTGCTACTTATCAGCTTGTATTTGTCCTCTCTTTGGCTTGCTGTTTTCTGGTAACAGTTTCCCCACCCATGTGCATATAGGTACCCAGGGAACACATTCACGTGAACTCACAGCAAAGGAGCTTTGTCATGTGTCCATTGCTGTTCAACATAAGAAGAGGAAAACAAACATTGGACAATTCTATGCATGTCACCTTTAAGGAATTGTCTCCTGTTGTTTGTAACTGGCCTGTGTCATTAATTCATTGCCACCTTCTTTCCATTGTAGGCTGTACTTCATTTTGAAAGGCAACTGTTGCGTGGTTTCTGGTGCTTCTGGCATAAAAGAACAGCTGCACGTTTGGAGGAGCAAAAGGCCTTGGCTTTTGCAAGCAATCACTACAGTAACCTGCTGCTGCTCAAGGCTTTCTGTCTGTGGAAGCAAAACACTCAGGAGAGAAAAATGGAGTAAGAAGGTTTTTATACAAGGAGAGTTATTGGGATTGGCCCTATGGTGTGGCCTACTTTTGACAAAGCAGCATTTAATTTACAGTGTCTCTGACTCCTTATTTGTACTTTAGAATCTGCTGGTTTGTCTTACTCAGTCAATGACTTACTGAAAATAGTGTGGACTCATGCCTGTGCTAGAGGTCCTCAGTAACATGGCTTGCATGCTAGAAGAAATAATTAGGTTCTTTTTCCTCTAGGAGGCTCAAGGAGTTGCAAGCCTTGAGATTTCACTATTCAAAGTGTGTGCAGCAGTCTTGGAACAAGTGGAGGGAGGTAAGAGAGTTAACAGATGGGAAAGAGCTTGAATCCTTTTTGTTATGTTCAGATTGCTTGTACCCATATGGCTAGAAACTAAATGGTTTGAACGCTAATGATTCCTAAGCATTCCTCCCTTTCCAGCTGGATAAAAACAATTGAGTGTGGGTGGACCAGGAGTTGTGTAGGGAAGAGAGAGAGTTCTTTGATTTCTTGCTCATTTGTCCAGGTGTAGTGAAAATGGGACTATAGCTTAGGAGACATATCTGGGAATGTGACCAGAATTTGTGTAATGAAATTGTTCTTCTAGAACTTTACTGATTAGAAGTTGGCAGTGAGGCCATGGTGTGTGGTCTGTAGGAGTGTACAGGTCATAGCGGGCCCTATTAGATGGCATTTCACTTTTATGCTGGGCCTTTTCCTTACTGTGATGTGATGTATGAAATGTGCCTTGCAGCATGTCTTGAGAATCTATGAGAAATTTTAGAATTTATACTACTCTGTTGGTCCAGAACTATTAACTTGAGTGAATTGTGTCAGTCTTGAAGAACACCAGTCAATCTTGTGTTAGTCTTCACCTAAAAAGGGAAGAAAAAGCCTGAACTAGGGCTTTTGGAGGAATAGTAGAGTGCAGCACCAGTTTGAGTGAGAACCTGTTACAGCAAAATAAAGGACTGATGTTTCCCAGAGACTGAGAATGATCCTCTTCTCTCTGCTCTCTACCATTGCCTGTTTTACCTCCACAGCGTGTACTGAAGTCTTTTGTGATTTTTTTTTTCTTTTTTTTTTTTTTTAACTCCCATCCCTCCTATAGTACGTGGGACATCAGCGTGAGAAATGGAAGAAGTTGGTAGACGCAGAGATGCATTATCGGCACACGTTACTGAGCAAGACCTTGGCAGCCTGGAAGGTAGGAGGGAGTGTCCTTTTCTCTGTGGGACTTGTCTGTGTGTGCTTGTGTTTCAGTGAGAACTGAAGAGCTGCCAGAATGGAGGCCATTCTGGACAGGGCTGTGTAACCTCTAGTATTGCTTTTTGGAGCAAAATAACTGGTGTAACCTTGGAGCTTTCATGAGGGGTACATAGGAACTAGCACTAACTAGTGTGTAATGACTTTATCTTGGAAAAATAGCATTTGATTTCAATGGCTGTAGCCTCATTTTTTTTTTTTTCCACCAAAATCTTCTACTGCTACTAGTCTACTAAGCTGCTGCTAAATGTTTCTAGAAGAGATGTTTGCAGCCAAGGGAAGTTCTGCCTCTTTTCTTGCAGAGTTACCAACATAACGTGCAGTGCATTCTGTCCCAAGTAGCTGGAAAGGAGAAGCAGCACAGGAGGCGGCAGCTGCGGTAAGTCTGGGTTTCCTGCTGCAGCATCAGAGAGAAGTGATTGCTCTAGAGTCAAATTACTCTCTTCCTTTTACTGCCACCTCTAACTTTTTTGAGTGTTCAGTGCTGGGAACTGACTCTGCATTGCTATTTCTGTGCAGGTCATCTGGCTAAAAGAACTCAGTCTCTTCCTGGATTGTCATCTGTTTAACTATTTATTTAGTCAGTGTTTAGTCCCATGAGAGACACCAGAAATAAACTCTGTAATTCCCTGCAGTGAATGGATTCTGGCAGCTCTGACATTAAAGCAGCCAGGAAGATGTTAAGGCTCTTGCATTGTAGTAAGGAGAGTGACTGAAGATATTATCACTTTGTATTGGTTGTATTTGCTTTAGTTTTAACAATCTTATTTGTTTTTATCCTATGCAACTTGAATCATTTGCAGAGCTTGATGGAACCACCTTGAGTTGCTAGAAGTAATTAGAAGTAAGGGCATGTTCTGGTTTTGCACTGCCTTATTTTCAGCAGAGACATGAAGGGGCAGAAGTTGATTTGCAAGACTGAGTTTATAGAGGCAGATGGGTTTGGTTCCTCAGTGAGTGGGAAAGTACCAAACGAACAAGTGAGAATAATTCTTAATGGTTTGGGGTTTTTAATTTTTTATATATTTTGCCTTCAGACAGCTTCTGGGTACATGGAGAGAAAATGCCCTTGAAGCTAAGGCAACTGCTCGGGCAGATGAGCACTACAGGAGAGCAATCCTGTCAAAGGTAGGATCTGTAGACCAGATACCAAAATCGAAGTAGTGATGCTAGTTCAGGCAGGGGCCAGGTAGTGCAATCAGAAGGCCCAAAAACTTAATTGAAGACCCTCTTGTTGGCATCTTCAGGTGTTGCTACAGTGGAAATATGCTGCCTTGCTGCAAGGGTACTACTGTCAGCAGAAGAGGAAAGCTGTGATGGAAGCCAGAAGACATCTGGATACATGTGAGTTGATATACTAAACTCTGAAAAGACTTTATCTGTGTGGGATCCTTAGAGAGACATGGCTTAGTAGGGCAGTCTTGCATGCGAGATGTATAGATGAAATGACTGGATAGTCTCTTAAGTCTACAAAGGACATCCCCATAGAATGGGGATGTCTTGAGACTCCAGTGATGTACTGAAGGCCTCTTGTATGACTTTGGCTTCTCTATTGGTTCTTTGTCTATATAAGGGATGGTAACACTTACTTCCTTGAATAAATTTTCCATTACTAGTTTAGAGAAGCTTAGATATCTCTGTTTTGAGGGCAGTGCAAGTAATTATACCACTACTGCTTTGGCCTTTCTCTGATATTTAACACAGAAAGTTCCTCAAACTCTGCAAGCGTTTTTGTGGTACCAGCCACATTCTTGACATGAGGACTCTGAAGCACAAAGAGGGCAAATAATTGCCTAAAGATTATAAAGAATTTTGATGGCAGCAGGGAAAACTTTCTATTCATGTCTTACCATCCTTCTTCCTAGTGCTTAGTACTGTCAGTGTTGAGTACTGTCAGTCTTCAGTATTGCTGAAACAGTCTGGATGAGTAGCTGATCACTTGATACTCTCTGAGATTAATGGTTTAATTTATCTTCTAACAGTGCGTTTACAGGCCCTGTTTCTTCACTGGAAGAAATTAACTTGGGAGTCTTTGCTGATGAGGGCTCAGCAGCACAGGGCAGTACAGCACCACCAGCAGCACCTACTCCAGAAGTACCTGGTGAAGTGGAAGAAGTATCATCAGCAGTGCCTTGGGCACATGGTGAGAAGATCAGCAACCTCCACAGCCAGCGACCCAGGGTGGGAAGCTGTGGATGTGGAGGAGCAGGCCATGTTCCTTGGTGAAGGGAATGGTGGTTCTGGCTGAGGAGGGGCATGACAGCCTTGTGCATTGAGGAGGAAGGAGCATGCTTGTGTCTTGCCTGAGGAAATTTTGATAGGACTAACAGACTTAAGAAGAGCTGGCAAGCCGTGCTTGCCATGTGTGGAATCTTTACTGTTAATGAAGTCCTTGCTGGTCTCACAGAGACTTGCAAATGGAGTTACATCAGAGGGGACTTAGGTATGGAGAGTGGCCGTAACAGAAGGAAGGGCAGGTGATGAAGGCTGTTTGATACTTGTTCTGCTTTAGTATCACCTGGCACATGTAAGTGCAAGTGACTCACTGTTGGTTGCCTTACAGCTACTATTGATACAGGGAGATCAGCTAATGGCTCATAGACTTTGCTCTGCTTCCTTCTCTTGCTGGAATACACAAGTTAAGGAATTGTCCCCTGGGCAGATATCTAGCTCCTTGCTCTGGTCCTTATCTCTTCTTCATATTCCACTTACACACGAGAACCACAAAATTTTATTTAATCGTGTCAGGATTTTTGGATCCACTAGTGCAAGAAACACCTTGCTGTTTACTGGGTGAGCTGAGTAGGTCATTCAGCTGTGGCTCCACTTTGTTGATGCTCTGACTAGTGTTTCTGGTGTGGGATACGAAAACTTCTAACCTGTTCATATTTTTTTCCCCTGATAGCTGTTGCAGCAGCCATGGGAAGAGCCCAAGACAGCACAAGCATTGTGGCACTGGTCCCTTTTATTGCAGAGAAAGGTGAGCATGTGTGGGGGCTGGGGCAGATGAGTGGATTTGCGGATATACAGAACATAGGCATATTTGACTGCAGTCAGTAGAGTGTACATTGAATATGTTTCCTTTGATCTTTGGGGTGATACGTGTTATTTTAGGATGCTGGAAAACTGTTCTGAAATCCTCTTATCTGATTAAAAAATGTGCACGGTTTTTCACATCCAGCCTCAGCTGACTTAAATCCCTGTCCCTTTGTCCTTGTGGTAGTGTCCTGCTGTTGTTGTAGCTCTGCCAGTCACTATCCAGCATCAGGGAAGGTGTTCCTGTCTGCAGGGGGAGTCCTGGGCTCAGAACCTATCTTTGTAACACTTACTGTTTGGCTGTAGGTATTTGATGCTTGGCACAGATTTTCTAAGGAGCAACAGCAGAAGAAAGATGACATTGAAAAATCCACAGTTCACCACACTACTTTTCTGAGAGAAGGTGCAGCCCGTGTCTTGAGCTGCACTGCTGGCATGAAACAACTACAGGGACAGCTCCAAACCCAGCACCAGCTGAAGGTGAAAGCGATTGGCTCAGACACATCTAGGGTTGATCTGCCCTCTCTTAGCTATAGTGTCACTTAGACCTTTAAATATGGGCTTGGATCACTTCTGCCCAGCCCTTTTTTGCAGAAAGGAACATGGGGTGCCTATGTTGATTTCTCTCTTCCTGCTCTTGGGCAACTTTCCCAGCTATTTTCTGGGTTTTGGTTCTGTTTGCTGATGTGCAGTCTGCCTCATTGTGGAAGTACCCAGTTAATTGTCCCTACTCAAATGTTACCACAGTGGACATGCTAATTTAGCTTAGAGAACTGGTATGGCTGTGAGGTCATCAGAAATCTCAGTTCCTTTCTGCAGTGTTCTTCTCCCTGGGTGGTGTGGTGTTGCTTCCTACTTTTAACTATGCAGTGCTCTGCTGTTCTTTGTGTTGGCAGGCAGTCTATGACCTTCACCAGTCAGTGTATCGTTGTGCCATGCTGTGGAAATGGAAGGCTCTCTCCAAGAAATTAAATAAGCCTTTATCTTTTCTGCCACATCTGAAGAAGCAAGTGGCATTGAAAATGCCTGATGTTGGCCCTGAGGCAAGAGGACACTTAACAGGGGAGGAACCTTCAAAATGCAATCGTCCACCATTTCACCTTGCTGATGGGAACTCAATTTTCAGAGATCTGTGCGTGTAAAGCTCTAGTCCCTCCTGTGTTTCTCTGGCATACGTGTAGTTTTGCCTCTATGTTGTGTGTCTGTCTCTCTGTGCTTATATGTAGCCTATCTGTCCATGTCTCATCTTTGTATTTTCCAGGTGTTCACACTGATGATTATTAGTTCTGTGCAGTTTCCCTAACTTTCTGACCCTGCATAATACAGCTGGTGTTGCAGTTATATAAGAGCTGCTGCATAATGTATATAGCAGCCCACAAAGAATGAAAGAATGTGTGGCTTTATACTTGCATATCAGTGGCAGGTGGAATCAGCTCAGCTTTCTGCTGTGCATTTCTCCATGTACAGCTATTGAATTCGTGGAGCATTGTTGATGGGACCTTTACCATCATGAGAGCTTAGCTTGCCCACGTGTCCTAGAGCTGTCACTGAAGCTCTTCTTTTTTTTTACTGAAATAATATATAGAGTCTGATTAAATTACAAACATCAAGGTTGTGGCTCTGTAGAATCTGAACTTTCTTCTTTCCCCTTTCTTTGACCTGGGGAAGATAGTCCTTAAAAAAATTCTTACTGGTCATGAAGCAACAGCAAGGAAGAGTTTTCTGTGAAGTTTCTCAGTCCAGGACAGGATCCCTACAGGGAAATAAGGAGATAGCTTCACATTTCCTTAAACTAGTACATGCTGCCAAAAGAAGTAGTTATGCCTTGCTCAGTTCTGTCCCTGCCACCACTCCTCATGTTGGCACAACTGTTCATACAGTGAACTAGATTGTGACATTAATGCAGGTTGAAATTTAATCTTTAAGTTATTATTACATGCAAGGGGATTGTTGCAGAGCAGAGATGAATGATGGAGTAGGGATGTTTCTTCAGCTGCAATGCCAGCTTATACCAATTTAAAATAATAATGGATCTGAAGCATTATTAGTGTTGTTTGTTCTTTTCAGGACTGCTGTTCGACGAGCAAGGTTACTACCACAAAGGCTTGACTTCCTCCTGGAATCTCTAGGAAGCAAGGAACTGCTGGGACCTCCTTTTACTAGGTAGAAAATCTATTTTTATAGGAAAGAAAAAGGGAGGGACTTATAGTAGTGGGCCTTATGCTATGCTTATCCCTTCAAATCCCCTTACCTTCACGATACAGAACATCCAGTAATTATGGGACTGTGCATTGCTGTATACTATTAAAGGCTATGGTGATCTTAAAAACTTGAGGTTTCTTACACAAAGCAGACAAGAATATTGGACCTTTCAAGTTAAAATTAAATAACATCCAAAGCCTTTGCTTTGTTAGTGAGAGATGTTGAGGGAAAGATAAGAAACATCACTTATTTCCAAAATTAATGGGCTTAGTTAATAAGTTTCCTTTTCTGACAGTCTTGCCACATAAACTCAGAAGTTTGAGTTATGCAGGATGCTTTTTGGCTTATAGATCGTATTTGCTTCACAACAGATTTGGGTCTAGATTTAACTAATCTGCTGGGGAATCAGTAATGAGTCTGGTAATGCAGAGCCAGAACGGAGTATTTCTCTCTGTCTTGGCTGAATCAACTTTGCGGCTTTAAAAGTAGCTACTTCTTTATTTTTACTTTCCCCAAAAGGTCTATCTGGCTGCAGTTATTTTAGTTATGGTATTAATTCTTAGTCCTGAAAGTGAGGGAGCTGAAACTGCTTATGCTATAGAAGCTGAAATTGCTTTTGAGCAGATGTTTAGACATAAATTTTAGTGAAAATGTTCAGTAATCAGCTTTAGAGAAGGGAAATGCCAATTTCCTGTCAAACAAGGACCCACAGGCTGCAATGTATAAGGGACCTCATTCTTCTTCCTTTACAGATCAGAGGCCCCCTTTCAGCAAACATCTGTGAACAAATGTTCTGTGCAGTCTGGGAACTTAATGCTCACGCCTCAGATGGAAGTAAGTCCCTGCAAATGTCTGTCTCAAACAGGCAATACCACTCAGTCCTGTCCATCTGCTGTACCTGCTGCTCTCCTGTCTGTACCACTATGGACACCTGCTGTGCACCATCCTGCTCGGAGTCCAAAGCTATGGACTCCTTCATCTTTTGTGCCCCAAATGAAAGCTGGAGCTGAAATGGTGAGTATGTATTGCTGGAGGAGAAATGGGTGTGCTTACTGGGCTACTGTCAGCATGCATGCTGCTTGTTGTTTTTCCTGTAGCTCTTCTGGACTGCCTACCTGGTTGTTGAGCTATTATTTTCTTTTTCTAGCTGTCATCTTAAAAGCTGACCAAATTAGCTGGCTCTGAATGCCCAAGAACTGTTTACCACCAGTCTGAAACAGTTTCACTAGGTGACCAATCCACATGTGTTGTACATGTGTGTAATTAATGCTTTTTTTCCTGATCTTGTTAGGTATTTCCTAACCAGATGCTTTTCCTAGCAATTAACTTGAGAGTGCTGCTGCTGAGTTCAGAGCAGTTATAATTTGCCAACCAGATTACAGTTCCCCACTGTTCCCCACAGAATGGGAGGTGTTAATCTTTATGAAATATCTCCATGGTAGAAATGAAAGAGCCTGTTTCTTAAGCTCTGCTTCTTCTCTGATATTTTATGAGTGGGATTCAGTGACTACAGGGGGTGTCTGAGTGGGAGTAGGGCTTAGTTGGTCAGATGCATTCTACTTGTAGGGCTTACTCAAGAAAATCCTGAGGTAAAAACAGTATCATTCTGACCTTGTAGAGGGGCAGACAGCCTGGGAGTGGTCACAATGGAGCCCATTCCCAAGATACTCAAAAGGACTCTGTGGAGAAGTTGCAACCAAACTTACAGCCACATTTGCTGTCATGTGAAGACTTGCTGGGAAAAAAGAATTGCCAAACTGAAGGTAGGTCTTCGGATCTAAGCTGTAGCAGTTGCGTCCCCTCCTCCAATATATGCAAAAGTGCAAGTTAACACCACAGAATGTAAAGGAGACAAGGCAGTCTTGTATGCCTGCATTATGAGGTGGAGAATATCAGTCATTCCTTTTTGTGGTGGTAATAAGTTTTGTGGGTCC